TCAAAGCTCAACGGAGACCTTGACTTCATTGGTGTCTGCAGATTGGTTGGTTGGTTGATTGATCAGTTGATTGATTGATTGATCGATTGGTCGGTTGTTTGATCGGGTGCCATCAAGCCATTTCCAACTTCTGGCACCCACATGAGTCTCTCTCCGTGATGAGGCCGGCCTGGCGTAGTTCTGATTGTGTTTTGGTAGGGGCTTTTATATGGGGTATTTTAGAGCAGGCTTTTTATTCAATATTTATTGTGATTTTTGTTGTCGCCTGTTCACCGCCCTGAGTCCCGTAGGGGAGATAGGGCGGTATATAAATTTAAATAATAATAATAATAATAATGAACTGTCGCTGAGCTGTCGCTTCGGTTCTCCTTGCCCCCATCACCACCGTGAGTGAGTCCATCATCCTTTCTCCTGGCTCTCCATCTCTCCATCCTTCTCTCCATCTTTCCCAGCAGGAGAGCCAAAATACCACCTTTCTCCCGGGGGAGGGAGCACCCCCAGAGCTCAGAAAACACCAGTGAAGAAGAAGGCTCCAGTGGACGGGGAGGGGGGGAGGCACGCTTTGGGCCCCAACATCTGCCCTTCCCTTGCAGCAGTGGAATGGGTTGCAGCTGGCTTCTCCCCCCCCCCCCGATTTCTGGCAAGGGGGTTAGCGGGGGGGGGGGCAGAGAGAGAGTCTCCTCCACCCAGCCACTTCCTGATGCTCAGCAATTTCCCAGGCTTTTTTTTTACATTATTATTATTAATAATAATAATAATAATAATAATAATAATAATAATAATAGTAAAGTTGGAAGGGACTTTGGAGGTCATCTAGTCCAACCCCCTGCTCAGGCAGGAAACCCTATACCATTTCAGATAAATGGCTGTCCAGTCTCTTCTTAAAAGCTTCCAGTGTTGGAGCATTCACCGCTTCTGGAGGCAGGTAGTTCCACTGGTTAATTGTCCTCACTGTCAGGAAGTTTCTCCTTAGTTCTAGGTTGCTTCTCTCCTTGGTTAGTTTCCATCCGTTGCTTCTTGTCCTGCCTTCGGGCGCTTTGGAGAATAGCTTGACTGCCTCTTCTTTGGGGCAGCCCCTGAGATACTGGAACGCTGCTATCCTGTCCCCCCTCGTCCTTCTCTTCATTAAACTAGACATCCCCAGTTCCAGCAGCCGTTCCTTATATGCTTTAGCCTCCGGTCTAAAGAATATTATTATTATTATTATTATTATTATTATTATTATTATTATTATTATTATTATTATTATTATTATTATTATTATTATTATTATTATTATTATTATTATTATTATTGGAAACAGAGAAAGATTAATTATCGTTGGGGGGGGAGGAGGAGAAAGAGGGCGAGATGGTAAAGAGAGGTGCCAAAATTGCTGCCGGGGAGAAGAGAGGAGGGGGGGGGCAGGAAAACGTCACCAGGAGAGATTTCCTTATTGGGTCTCCCTCGGCTGCATCCTGTGTCCATATATGGGCATTTACGTCACAGCCAGCCCTGCTTGGGAACTCCAGAAATGGAAGCGCCGGGTTGCAACGGAAGATGCGAGGCAGATATAAAAAGCGGCCCTGCAGCTTCGGGACTCTTTGCTTACAAACAACAGGAGGCAGCCCCGAGCACCTGCGGAGCCCGGCCAGCCCAGGTGAGGCCGGCAGGTGAGGCCGGGCCGGGCCAAAGCAAGGCAAGGCAAGGCAGGAACCCACCCACCCACCCCGGTTCCCCTTTGCCACGTGCACCCCTGGAGGAGACGGTCACCCCCTGAGCCCGGGGGGGCTGGAGCTGTGCAGCGGAGGGGGCCGGATTCCACCCACCTGCCTTCCTCCTCCTCCTCCTCCTCCTCCTCCTTCTCTCCTACTCCATCCTCGGGACATGTTGAACCTCATGGACTTCTCCCGCCAGGAAACCCCGAGAGCCGAAGACCAAGGAGAGCAGCTGCCTCCGCTCCTGAGCCAGCCCCCCAGGGAAGAAGCCCCCGACTATTTTGCAGGTAAGGAAGGGAGGAGGAGGAGGAGGAGGAGGTGGTGGTGAAGATCAGGCTGCAAGCTCTTGTAAATGACCCCTTTGGGGGAAAGCGCAAGATGAGGGGCAGAATCAAAGCCACTTTGTTGTCTTCTGTCTCTCTCTCTCTCTCTCTCTCTCTAGGCCAGAGATGGATAGCCTTGGGGGGGGGCTGGGGTGCCTTTCAGCGTTTTTTTGGGGGGGGGCAGGAAGCTGGGGTGGTGCAATGAGAAGTGGGGGCTCTGTGGGTGCGGGGGGGATCATTTTTTAAAAAAAACTAAGCTTCTCTCGGGTGCCTTTGAGTGATGCCCATCTCAAAATGGCAGGGATCTCGGCCACCAATTTTCAGCAGCCGTGACGGGGAGCTTGGCCAGACCTGGGGGGGTGGGGGTGTTGTTGTTGCTCAGCTTGCCCCCCCCCCTATATTCTGGATGACTGGCCCCCCCTCCCCACCTTTGTAAGGCTCAGATAGAAGGGGTTCAATGTCAGAATGCCCTAAACCCTCACGTATTAATAATCATGCTAGATTATTATTCTAATCGTCCACGAATTATCTTTCAAGGGGGGCTGTAAGAGGTGAGTAGGTGAGTTCCCACGGCCAAGGTCGCGTGATCGGGGAGGAGGAGAGGGGGGGCTTCGAACTGCATGTTTGCAAAGAGAGGCGACCCCCAATCCTGCCAAGTTGAAGCGGAAGGGCTCCCGAGAGGTCATCTAGCTCAACCCCCGTAAAATCGCCAGAATTCTGGACACGTCTTTCCCAAACGTTGCCCTCTGAGGGACACAGGTTGACCTCCTCGCCCCCTTCCCACAATTTCTTCCACTTGGAGAATTCCCTGTGGGGTTTGGAGACAGGGTTTGGGGAAGGGCGATCCGTCCACCGCCATCCTGACTTTGTTCCCAGGATGGGGGTGTGGGGGGGCTGAAGGACTTTTTTTTTTATTTTATTTTAATATAATGGCTCTTGAAGATGGTTTATTTCCAGTCTTCGAGTGGGAAGTTTATTTATGTATATATTTGTATCCCGCCTGTATTGGTTCTTAGAAATAACTCGAGGTGGCGAACAGATACCTAATATTCCTTCCTTCTCCTATTTTCCCCCTCAACAACCACCCTGTGAGGTGGGTTTGGGCAGAAAGAGAAGGACTGGCCCAAAGTCACCCAGCTGGCTTTCATGCTAAGGCAGAACTAGAACTCACCGTCTCCTGGTGATTGGCCCAAAGTCATGCAGTCGGCTTTTTTGCTTAGGCAGGACTAGAACTCAGTCTCCTGGTGATTGGCCCCAAATCAGTCAACTGGCTTTCATGCTAAGGCAGAACTAGAACTCAGTCTCCTGGTGATTGGCCCAAAGTCATGCACTCGGCTTTTTTGCCTAGGCAGGACTAGAACTCACAGTCTCCTGGTGATTGGCCCGAAATCACTCAGCTGGCTTTTCTGACTAAGGCAGGACTAGAACTCACAGCCCCCTGGTGATTGGCCCAAAGTCACCAGCTGGCTTTCATGGCTAAGGCAGGACTAGAACTCACAGTCTCCTGGTGATTGGCCCCAAATCAGTCAACTGGCTTTCATGCTAAGGTGGAACTAGAACTCACCGTCTCCTGGTGATTGACCCAACATCACCCAGCCGGCTTTCATGCCTAAGGCGGGACTAGAACACACCATCTCCTGGTGATCAGCCTAAAGTCACCCAGTCACCTTTCATGCCTAAGGCAAGACTAGAACTCACAGTCTCCTGGTGATTGGCCCAAAGTCACCCAGCCGGCTTTCCTGACTAAAGCGGGACTAGAACTCCCTCTTTCTAGCCGAGTGCCTCAACCATTAAACCAAACTGGCTCTAAGCTCAGAGTTAAATTTCAGAGTAAGTTATGAGCTCCAAGCTCAGTTACGCTGGCTGGGGAATTCTGGGAATTGAAGTCCGCAGATCATACAGGTGTCAAAGTTGAGAAACAGTAAGGAGTCTCTACCAAGCAGGATGGTACAAACTTTATATTAGTCAGAGCAGGGGTAGTCAACCTTGGCTCTTTTATGACTCGTGGACTTCAACTCCCAGAATTCCTGAGCCAGCCATGCTGAGGGGAAAGGGAGAGGTTTCCAAGCTGAGCCATGCTGGCTCAGGAATTCTGGGAGTTGAAGTCCACGAGTCATAAAAGAGCCAAGGATGCCTACCCCTGGCCTAGGCTTAGGCCACTTTATGACTCGTGGACTTCAACTCCCAGAATTCCTGAGCCAGCATGGCTCAGCTTGGAAACTCTCCTTTTCCCCTCAGCATGGCTGGCTCAGGAATTCTGGGAGTTGAAGTCCACGAGTCAAAAAAGAGCCGAGGTTGCCTACCTCTGGCCTAGGCCGCTTTCTGACTCGTGGACTTCAACTCCCAGAATTCCTGAGCCAGCATGGCTCAGCTTGGAAACCTCTCCCTTTCCCCTCAGCATGGCTGGCTCAGGAATTCTGGGAGTTGAAGTCCACCAGTCATAAAAGAGCCAAGGTTGACTACCCCTGAGTTAGAGCATAATGCTGCCTGAGGAATTCTGGGAGTTGAAGTCCAAACATCTTAAAATTCCTAAGAAACACTGCTCTGGATGAATCTAGGTTAGCCCTAACAATACTATCCCTGTTATTTAGGGCCTCAACTGAGGCCCAACATTTACGTTGCTAAGTGGGGAGTTTCTCAAGCGAGTTTCCCCCCCCCCATTTTACGACGTTTCTGCCCACCGTCCTTCAGCGAAACCCTGCAGAGGTTTAAATAGTCACACGGTTGTTTAGGGACACTGCAACCGTCATAAATGCGAGTCAGTTGCCAAGCCTCCGAACGTAGATCAGGCGACCCCGGGGGAGGCTGCCACGGCCGTCGGTGTGTAAAACGGTCACAAGTCCCCTTTTTTTTTTCCCCAGCGCCGTTGTAACTTGGAACAGTCACTAAACGAACTTGTAAGTTGTAAGCCGAGGAATACTTGTGTGTAGAAACCCTTGTAAACTCAATGTCTCCCGTTGTTGATTTTCCAGCTGACTTGATGGGAGCTACCATGAACTCTGAACCAGTGGACTACTACTTCCTTTCCGGAGAGGTGTCCCCACCGGTCAGTTACTCCGGCAGCCTTTTTATCAAGACGGAACAATGCCAAGATCAGGAGTCCCTCTTCAACTTGATGTCCGGGATCTTAGGACTTTCTCCCTTCTCTGCTCTGGAAGGTCACCAGAGGCCACCAGAGACCAGCTACACCATCCCCGAGGTTCTCCAGAACCACCTGGATCTCTACTCTACCTGCCAGCCTGAGCTGAACATCTCCGTGCAACCGTCTTTAGCCGAACAAGGCTATAGTTCCTCCTTCTCGAGTGCGGAGAACCTCCAGCAGTTCCAGGCTTCTTCTGAAGAGAGGGCCTCCTCTTCTCACTGTCTCTTTCAGGAGAAGCTTTTGGATTCCAAGCAGGACGTCAAGCTCTCCTCCATCTCTCCCACCGCGGAGAAGTTCAAATCTTCCTGCTCCCATTGGGAGCACCTCAGCCAGCCTCACTCTTATTTGCCGGCCGAGTGTCCACCTTCAGAGGCCTTCCACCCAGTGGAGGCAAGTCAAGCCATGTTTCCCCAGATGGCCCCCAAGACGGAGAACGTGTTGATGGTCAGCTGCCAGTCAGAACTCAACTCTCTCTCTGAACAATCCGGGACTTTTGGACCTCCCTTGGATTTTGGTTGTCACGCCGAAGCATTCCTAAGCCACGGTCAACTCCCCGCGGACTTTGTGGACACCAAGCCCCCGCCTAAACTTTCCCCTCCGTTCACCCAAGAATTTGAAGCTCCCGTCGCCCACCCGGAAGTCCTCCCAACCTTGATGCACCCCAACAGTCTCAAGCTGCCGGGCAACTCCATGACGGACTTTTTAGCTCACCTCCCGAGTTCTTCCGCCAACAGTTTGGGACTTGGCAGGACCCCCGGCAGCCTGGCAGGCCCCAAGAAGAAGACACGGCGTGGGAAATGTTCTTCTAAATGCTTTTGTCCCAAACCCCACGAGAAGGCCTTCGCCTGCCCGGTAGAAAACTGCGTCAGGAGCTTTGCCAGATCAGACGAGCTCAACAGACACCTCCGGATACACACTGGCCACAAGCCCTTCCAGTGCCGCATCTGCCTGAGGAACTTTAGCCGCAGTGACCACCTGACCACCCACATCAGGACCCACACGGGGGAAAAGCCCTTCTCCTGCGACGACTGCGGCCGCCGCTTCGCCAGGAGCGACGAGAAGAAAAGACACAGCAAGGTCCACTTGAAGCAGAAAGCACGGGCGGAAGAGAAACTCAAGGGACTTGGGTTTTACACCATGGGACTTTCCTTCGGGACCCTCTAAGGCCGATTTGAGAGGGGGAGACGCTGCGATTGGGGCGGGAGTGACCATTCTTTGAAGCACTTTTGCAGGAACGCTCAGGGGAGAAGGAACACCTGTCCACGACGGGGTAGCGTGGGAAAGAAGCGAGCATGGATGGACCCAAGGGCAAGTCCATCCAGCGGGTTGACTGGCTAAGCGCAGCAGAGGAGAAGGCCACTTCCGTGGATGAACGGATGGGAGAAAACCCGAGGGAAGGAGGAGAAGAAAAGACTGTTGGGCTTCAACCACCGTTCAAACACCATGGGCGTTCAACCGTGGTGGGCCTCCATAGCGATGTATAGCCTAATGTTTTCCAACTGGTGCAGCTTTTAAATGTATTTCAGCACCATGATGTGTGGACAGCTCCAAGACAGGGACTTCAGATTTTCTTTGACAAAAATCAAAGGAAAAAAAATGTATTTTCATTTTTGTATTTAGCTTTAGTTAAAGAGGGGTGTGTGTGTGAGCGTGTGTGTGAGTGTGCGTGCCTCTGTGTGTGTGTGTGAATAACTGCCTATGTTTTATACAGGATCACCTTGGAAGCACTCTGGTTTTTAAATCAATTGAATCTTTCTCTTTCATAAGCACTTTAACGAACTGTCTGAGAAGGAAGGGCCATTTTATATATATATAAATATATAAATGGCTTTATATATATATATATATATCCATCCTTTTAGAACATGTATAAAAACAAAATCAGCATGATTTATTTGCTCTGGAGTTTTTTTTTAAAAAACACACACATACACACACACACACACACACACAACTTGGCTTTAACGAACATTTTTGCTATACAAATTGTGATGGGGTGGGGATTTAATTTTTTTTTTTTTAAAAAAAATGCAAATCTCTTTCTTTGTAAAAAAAAAAAAAAGGGAATGTGTTCAGAGAAAACCGTGTTTATTTTTACAATAAAGAAAACCTGCTTTAATGTACAACTCCTGGCTGAAGAAGTGCGGACAACCCCCGGGGGGGGGGGCTTTATGGGGAAGGGTCCAGCACTGAAGCTGAGGGCTGAGGGGGAGATGGGCTGGGTGGGTGGGTGGGATCAGCCCCCCTCGCTGCCTCGAAGCGCTGGAGGGGATTCAGGGAGGTGGAATCGCTGCCTGTCCACTCTGCTGGGTGGGGAATCCCACCGGTGAAGCGAGCCCCTGTACATGGACAGAGTGCTTCCCCTTCTCGCAATGGATAGGTACCTTGGAGGTCTTCTAGTCCAACACCCTGCTCAAGCTGGAGACCCTATGTCAATCCAGACAAATGTTTGTTCTTAAAAGCCTCCAGTGATGGAGCATCCACAACTTCTGGAGGCGGGTTGTTCCACTGGTTAATTGTCCTCACTGTCTGGAAATTTCTCCTTAGTTCTAGGTTGCTTCTCCCCTTGGTTAGTTTCCATCCGTTGCTTCTTGTCCTGCCTTCTTCAGGTGCTTTGGAGAAGAGCTTGACTCCCTCTTCTTTGGGGCAGCCCCTGAGATACTGGAACGCTGCTATCGTGTCCCCCCTCGTCCTTCTCTTCATTAAACTAGACATACCCAATTCCAGCAGCCTTTCCTTATATGCTTTAGCCTCCAGTCCCCTAATCAGAGTATTTTCCCACACAACACTCTTCCTGAGGTTGCAGCCCCGTACACACAACCTTGTGACTGCCCAACCCCCCCCAGCCTGCCCCCATGAGCCGAGATCTCTCCAATTCTAGATCGATAGCTTAACCACAGCATCACACTGCTCTTTTTCACAGTTGTTGGGTGGTGGTAGAAGGAGTTGACAAGGTCTCAACTACCTGTAGTTACTGACAGAGGCTGCTTTTGCAGGTGTTGTTCCAGAAGGGGGGAGGGGGGGTGTCCAACCTTGGCCACTTTAAGACTGGTGGACTCCAACTCCCAGAATTCCTTGCCCAGCAGGTCTGTAAGTCTTAAGGCTGAAGTCCACGGCTCTTCAAAATTGCCAAATTATGAGTGAGATCAACAAGCAGGGGGTTAAGGAGGACACCAACTTGAGTCAAGCTTTGTCTTCTCAGCTGCTTGAAGGTTGGTGAACACTCAACTGTCCTCCTTCTAAGTGTGACAGCAGTCTTCCCATATTGGAGGGGCTGCCCCAAAGAAGACGAGGGGAGGGGGGGTCAAACTATTCTCCAAAGCGCCTGAAGGCAGGACGAGAAGCAACGGATGGAAACTCATCAAGGAGAGAAGCAACCTGGAACTAAGGAGGAATTTCCTGACAGCGAGGACGATGAACTAGTCCAGGGCTTTTCAACCTTTTCACCCATTGTACCACTTTTAGGCTAGGGCAACATCCGAGGACCACCAGTCGCCTAGCAAGGTGTCAAAAACTTGATGACCCCCCCAAAAAAGGACAAAAAGTGATGAAGTACAGGTAGTCCTCGACTTACAACAGTTCACTTAGTGACTGTTCGAAGTTACAATGGCACTGAAAAAAGTGCCCCCCAAGCCACAGCTGAGCAAGACGCCTGCCTGCCTGCCTGGCCGCGCTCTTCCTCCTGTCCGAGGTTTCCATCGTTGTGAGCATTTCTGTTGAGGATTGGCAGAGAGGGTGGGGTGGGGGGGTGTTTGGTTTTTATTCCCCCCGTCTGCTGGGTGGTTGCAGCAGGTTTTGGTCCCTTCACATGACCCTGGGACACTGTGACCGTCATAAATATGAATCAGTTGCCAAGCATCTGAATGTAAATCACAAGACCCTGGAGATGCTGCAACATTCCAGCTGATCGGCGCTTCTTCAGGGCTCAGCAGAAGCACCAGGATCAGTGCTGAGCTCCAGCTGGATCCTGGCACTGATCCTGGTGCTTCCGCTGAGCCCTGACAGCCCCGAAGAAGCGCCTATCAGCTGGAAAGCGGCACTGATCCTGGCGCTTCCGCTGAGCCCTGACAGCCCTGCAGCTCCAGCCGTCTCTCGCTCAGGCTTGTGTGGTGCTGCCACCGGTTCAGCCCATTCTCCTCCCCCACTACCACTTTTCTAGGATGGTCGTGTACCACCTGCCAGGTGCTGATGTACCACAGGTGGTACCCGTACCACTGGTTGAAAAGCCCTGGGCTAGATGACCTCCAAGGTCCCTTCCAGTTCTATTCTGATGAACTGAGAGCTTCGTTGTCAGATGTTTCAGTCTCACAGACTCAGCATAATAGCAATGAGATCACACCGAGGAACTTTTAGCTCTGTGTCATCTTCCCAGGCATTCAAAACAGGCTGCTTAAGTATAATAGTATAATAGTCTTTCCTGTGAGTAAAGCAGGTGGATGGGGCCACTGCATCACTCCCTTTGGAGCAAGCTGTGTGTGTGTGGGGAACTGAGTCAAAGGTTTTCCATCATTCTGCCTTCAATTATCCGGGCCTTCCTTCTCAATCTCTTTCTCTTCTAGAGTGCACAGAGAAGAGCAACAAAGATGATTAAGGGGCTGGAGGCTAAAACATATAAGGAACGGTTGCTGGAATTGGGAATGTCTAGTTTAATGAAGAGAAGGACGAGGGGGGACAGGATAGCAGTCTTCCAGTATCTCAGGGGCTGCCCCAAAGAAGAGGGAGTCAAGCTATTTTCCAAGGCGCCTGAAGGCAGGACAAGAAGCAACGGATGGAAACTGATCAAAGAGAGAAGCAACCTAGAACTAAGGAGAAACTTCCTGACAGTGAGAATGATTAGA